CCAATAACGACGAGCATGCTCATGTAGCATCTAGTCATTCTTCTTTAAAGAGAGTAATGCCCCAATATCTTTTTGGTGCCTGATACTGGTGATGAACTGAGCTGTGAAATGCACCCAACTATCAACTGAATCTCATGAAAGGCTATCATTGTTGGAACATAAATTCCAAGAATCATTGACAACACGTGTGTATTGAATACAATTTTTTTTCCTTTAAAACCTTACAAAACAGAACTAGAGTTTACCTTCGAGATCGCTCTGAATTGATCTCGTCTCAGCACGAACACAGAATCTAATAACAAATGTAGAAGACAACTTGATGAACCTCACGGTCTTCTGTTATATATCCTCCAACGTCAAAATTCGGATGCAGTGTAGACTGAATTTATGTTTGCTCTCTCTCAGCCTCCCTCAAAACGTGAATAATGAAGTTGATTTTGATTTAGAAAGCCTAGACATATATATATGCGCTACGACAAAAATTCTAAGGAAAAATAAGGGTCGGGCTTCCAATGGCCTAGGATTCCTATGTTCTACCCAAAACAAACGTCCTAGGGCTAGTTTGTTTCAAGGATTAGAGTGGTATAAGGAGGTGATATTAGAGAAATAGTACGTGGGACCCATCTTATACCTTGTTTGTTTAGCATTTTATAGCCAATATTATTTTTCGGGTCGTAATACCGACCCGCTATTAACACACTTTACACTTTACGGACACTTTTAAATATGTCGAATTTATGTTTTTGTAGGAAATAGACTTAACTTGCAAGTGCATGTTTTCATAGAGCGATAAGCACTAGCCTCCTCTTTGTGCTATAGCTTTGATGCAACAATTCTGGCTAAGCATTGTCAATGTAACATTAAATCGAGACTTGAATTTAGTCTTAACACCTTCGATGCATAGTGGGGTTGATCTGTAAGACCCACGTACTAGATAGATCGATATGTCCCCAAATAAATGCTAATGAATCAATGTATCTTGTGTGAATTAAACAAAGCGTAAATTATACTTAGAATCTCTTAATTATGACTTCTTTCACATTACCCTTTCAATTATCATATTTTTGATATTGCACCCTCAATTATGTTATTAGTTTCATATCATTCCAATTATTACCGTTTGTTATATTTAAGAGAAAGTTGGTCAATTTTATTCCCTAAACTATGTAATTTTTTTTTCACTTTACCCCGACACGTTAACAATTTTCGTCTAAAGAGATAATAGATGTTTATAATTTGATTATTTATTATTTATTATTATTTTTTTGTGATCAGATATTATTGTTCAATTATTGTGTTATTCAGATGCTATTTTTTTACCAGATGTTATTATTCACTTATTATGTTATTCAGATGTTATTTTTTTTGCTCAATTTGGGTGAACAAATTGCAAGGCAATGAAACTCTTGATTTGTATCCTAATTGTAATTTTTACAATTTATGACAATTGACGGCTTTAAATGATCAATTTAACTTAAACTAATTTTATTATCATGTTTGTTAAATGTAGATTATAATATGATAATAATGATTATGATTTATGTTATGAATTAAATCGATTTGAAATATTGTAGTTTTTTATTAAAAAAAAAGCATATTTTATAAATATTTTCAAAAAATTAAAAAGTGGAATGATGAAACTGAATATTAATTTATTTTTAAACGTCAGCTTAGTGTAATTAGCAAACAATTTGATTCAATTTAGTATTTAAATTTCAGTGAGTGTTAAACAGTTTACGAATTCAGACTTTAATTTTCAATTTTTTAAACTTTAACTTCAATTTTATCAAATACCACATAATTTTAAATCTAAATTATCCAACTTGTCAAACGGCACTATTTCGTCACATCTCACCAATGAAACTATGCAGTGTAGCTGGCCCATGACAGCTTGACAAGTCATAGAATTTGAAGTCACATGCTGTGGTTCATTATAATCTTTTATTGATGCGCTGAGAAGGCATCACTATAGTTTATAGAGAGCCTCAAACCTAAAGTAGGATCAGATATTCTTCATAAAAGCAACCAAAGGTGGGGCCATTCTAATACAGACCCCAAATTGCCCCTTCTTTCTCTAAGTCATTTGGATGGGGTGTCATACCTTAAATCCAAAGATGACATGTTCTTGATGTTGATTTAATTTATTATTGTATTTAAATTAGCAGTGGTGTTGTAGAATACAGCGTGGTAAAATAATTTCAAATAATAAAAAAATAAAGAATCAAAAATCGAAGAAAATAGATCGCTAAACAAGGCGCGACACTCGCTATCTTTGAAATAGTAATTTTCTCACTTATAATGCAGACAGACTCTTGGAAATTTTACCCTCATGATACAATGTCTAACTTTAAGATTATAAAAAACTGCACTCTTTAGTAATCTTGGAATCAAAACTCATTCCAAATAGAAAATAAAAAAATATAGAAACTTTGAATCAAAGAGAGAAGAATGATTAAATTGTTGATACTTTATTCTTGCACTTGAACCCTATTTATAGTGTTCTATGCATCGCTCAATGAATGAGTGTAACCCTTCAAAATCATGGCAGAAGACACCCCTTGAAAGGACTGCAATAATATAGTTGTTAGAGACTAATTTCAAACAGAATACTTATCACGTTCGAATGAGATTTTCATGTTCGAACGTACTCAACTCTCAATAGCTTGATTTTGAGATTTCTGCTAAAGTACTAGGAGCAAGTCACGTTCGAACATGAGTTGCGTTCAAACGAACCAAAGTCCCAATATCTTAGTTTCTGTCATAAGATTCTGAAAAAGTATTAAGAGCAAAACACGTTCGAAGTATTGTTTTAGCGTTCGAACGTCACCTCCCTCATTTTGTTTCTTCTTCTTCTTCTATATATATATATATATACATACAAAATTATAACTTACCGTTCTCATTATGTAGGTCTCCTCTTTAATAAGATTCCTTGAGACCTTGAGTGAAGGATAGAGTTCTTCCTGTATTTATAGATGAAGATGAATTCATGAAAAATTTGTAAGAACCAATGTAAAATTCATGTTTTTGCCGTCTAACTCATATACCCCAAATGTTGTGAAGGGAAGTGAAAAAAAATTCACTTTCCAACAAATGTCAATTTAAAAAGCACTATTATACTATATATATATAACTAATAAAAATATCACTATTAGTAAATAACTATATATATTTACCTATATATATAAAAAGTGGATCATAGTATTAAATAAAATATATGTTGTCAGAATAGCCGCAAATTGCCATATATACTTTGCCTACAATTTGCGTCAAGATTCTATCAAGACAATTCAGTATTACCCTCTGAATGTCATTTTAAACAACTCCTAATTCACCAATATCCCTTTTTACACTAAATATATTTTCACGAAACTAGCTGGGATTCTTTCTATTTCTACGGTAGTATTTGATAACCTGATTTAAAATTTAAAACTGACAATATTTCATACTTTTTTTGTAGTTCCTACTACTACCACCATCAAGCTAACTACTACCACAACCACCATGGTGGTTGTCACGATGGAGGGGCAGAAGAGGTGGTGGTACCGCAAAGTTGATGGGGGTGGCAGTAGTAGGCGTTGGTGACTCTAGGATGATAGAGGTAATAATAGTGGAGGTGGATGATGGTGGCAGAGGGATATGGAGTCGGAGATGGTAGCAAAGTTGGTGATAGCATGTATAGGGGCAATGATGATGATAGAGTTGTGTATTGCAAGACCAACAAGGGTTGGTGGTGGAATGATAGACGTGGTGATAATAGTGTAATAGCGGCATGGTGATTAGATGAGAGGTGGTGGTCGTTATGACGATGGTTTGAAGCAACGAGGTGATGGATAAAATATACAACAAAAAAAATATTTGGTGTAAACCATCTTATTTATTTGTATATATAAATATACAAAATTAGTAGTAAAAGTGGAATTAATGTCTAATAAAGGGTAAAATAACATTAAACATATTATTAATAGATTTTTAAACTAATTTCACAAGAGTTATTATGAATACTATTCACTTGTCTTAATCGAAATTTGAATAAAAAAAAACTGATAGAATTTTGTGGAGGTAACGGTGAGTCATCAAATCAAACAAGAAAAAGTGAGAATATTTAGATCTAGGGGATCCAAATTTCTAACCACATGATTTTCTGGTCACATGCCACATGCCACATTTCAAGTTCCTAGTGGTTGGATTTCTAGATGATTGACACATGGAGCTGTAAGTGGTCCAGTGAGGCATTATACTGACAAAAGCTTTTGGGGGTGTATACAATTATAACTCGTCTCTGAAAGCACGATAAAATATAAAATTTAAGCGTTCAAAAAATTAATTTTATTATATTAAATTTTTTTAAAATATATTAATTATAAATTAATCAAATATTAAATATATAATAAAATGAAAGATGTGATATTTTTAGGGAGAAAATATATCAATAATTAAACATGTGATAAAAATAAGTTATATGATTTGACGTTTGAGTCTGAAAAAGGGATAATGAGTGAGATAAGTGATTGGTGATAGTTTTAAAAATAAAAATATGACTGAAATAAAATTCAAACACACTCGTATTTTATTTTATAGATATTTGTCCTATAAAAGAATGTAGTGTATATGCTAGCCCAATATACCGTGGCTTTCCTTCTCTCTCTCTCTCTCTCACAAAATATATATACACACATATATATGCATATAACAAGTTGCAATTCATGTAATGTTTTTGGCTAAATAACTTCATGTCAAATTTACTCTTTGTAAAAAAAAATTTGCTGGGTGTTCTGAAATGGAGAGAAATGGCATTATAGCAGTTTCAAACATCAAGTAAGATCTCTCTCTCTCTCTCTCTCTCTCTCTCTCTCTCTCTCTCTCTCTCCCCTCTCTCTCTCTCGTTATATATATATCTCTATGAGTGTTTTGAAATGGAGAGAAACGAGATTAGGGTGAATAGATAGATTCTTTTGAGAATCCTTGCCTTCAAGGCCTCAAGCAAACCAGTTACCAGCAGCAGAATGCCAAAAACATATAGTCTGATAAACACTCCATTGCATTGTCCAATGAAAAACAGTGTTTGAAATAATCCTCCATGAACTAGCACGGAGTCCAATATCATCAACATGCTTCAACAACCAGAAAACCATTATCAAGAACTCGATCGTCACGACCATAATCTCCAGTACAATGGCAACAATCCGAGGAGAAATGCAAAGGGTTTTTTCACCTGGAGAACCAGAAGAGAGCTCCTATTCGAGAAGGTGATAACGAGGAGCGATATCAATCAAAACCGACTCGCTATACCCAAGTATCATGCCAAGCAGCACTTTCCACTGAATCTCACAGGCAATTCGAAATCAAAAGGCGCTTTGATTTTCATGGAGGATGATGAGGGGAGAGTCTGGAGATTCAGATACACATTCTGGAAGAGTTGTCAAGCTTACGTGCTCACGAGTGAGTGGAATCATTTCGTGAAGGAGAAGGGTTTGCATGCAGGGGACGTGATTAGTGTTCTTCGTTCATGTTGCCCCTACATGAAGCTTCATATAGAGTTGAAGCCACAAGGAAACTCTGATATCATGGCAAAACCTGAATCGTTTGAACCTGTTCAACATACTCGAATGGTCAAACTGTTTGGAGTTGATATATCAACAAGTCTGAGCAAGTGATCTCAAGCCTCAGCTAGGTTGTTTCCTACAACATATGTGATGTAATATCATGAAGTTGTTACAATAACAGACCAAGAAATTAAAATTTCGTTTTACAACATAATTTTGGTCGATTTATAAATTAAAGCATATGAAAAACATGTTCAAAAATATTTTTAAAATAAAATGAAAAAGTAAAAAATTTATTTCAAAACATTGATCTGAATATTCTCTAATACCCCCAACAACCTCGAAATATTCTAAGTATATCGAAACATAATAATTTCAATAATAAATAATTTTGATACTTGCCCTAACTTAGATCACACAAAGCAGGAGTGAGGATGGGAGCGAGAGTGCGAGAACAAATAAATTCAAAAAAATTTAGAGCGATAGCGTCTTAAGAGCCTGTTACTATATATATACACACATACATATTTACATTATAAAACAATTATTAAAAATAGATTTTTAAAATTTAATTTTTATATATCAATATATGATAAATGAGTAAAGAAAAAAAAAGTAAATAAATCATTTAAAAAAAAAAAGAAAAGAAATCAGTTCAAAAAAAATTACAGAGAAAGCATTGAGGCATTGCAATGACTTTTCTTTCAATCCCATGTCGACAAAAAGGGAAAAGGGGAAGCTAGAGCTGCTTATAAAAAGGTAGTGGGCCTCTTCACTTTTTTTCACATGTGATGTGGCTTTTATGTGGGTTTTTGACTAAAAATTTCTCTATCTGAGGTAAGTACAGTGGAAAAATAATTTTTTTATTTTTGTTTATTAGAATTTGCCCTCAAAGTACGATGAGAATTGACGAGCGGAGCATGAGGTTGTGTAGAAGAATCGTGTGACTAAGGTCTCGATCATCAAAAAAACATGGAAACAATAAGAAAATAAAATACAAGAATAAATAAATCAGTGAAAAAATTAATTAAGTTGAAGGTTTTGTTCCATTGTCTTTTCCAAAGCAGATGATACGTTGGGCCTGTTTGGATTGATGGATTGGATTGGAGCATCAAATTCAACCCAATCCAACTTGATGGGTTTTGCATCTAGGATTGAACATTTTTTTTCCCATCATATCCGATTTTGCATATTTGCATACCTAAACTAGAGTGTATGTGGGGGCCCCCATAAAAAATAAGGTTCCATGTGATTCAGACTAGAATGCCCCTTTTTATGTAGATAGGGCATTCGTTTGGTGGCAAATCTGTCTTTTCACCAACGAATCCATTTGGATTGGGTTGAATTTGAAAAAGAAAAAAAGGAAAAGAAAAAGGATTTCACGACGCCTCCATATGCGAGTTTGTTGGGACTATTCATGTTGGCCGAGATTTAAATAAAAAAAACAACTCGACGAACATGCCAAACCAAACAAACATCAAGTCATGGGATTAGACTATTTTTTCAAATTTCAATTATTTTATCTCAGCTAAACCCATATACCAAACAACACCTTTAAGACCAAGTTTTCAAAAGGGACAAAATGTCATATGGACTATTTGAGAACTTAAACGAGGACCTAATTCAATACATATATTAGATTAAAGGTAGATTTTATCTAATATTAAAACTCACAACTAATCTAATAACAACATTAAATTAGGTCTATATAGCATTGGGATTGAACTTATAAAATAAGATCACAAGAATGGTGATTCAATGTGCAATATCCTTCACCTCATTCAGCAAATACACATTTTTTTTTGGGGGGCGTGGGAGCGGTGGGGGCAGGGGAAATGTTGGGTTATTGTGTTCCAACAGATTGACAAATAGAATAAAATTGAGACTTTGAGGTGCGTAAGATCGTTTCCTTTAAAGTGATATTTTTCTCCACTTGAATAATTTGTTAGAAAGTTCTTGACAAATCACTTCCAAGATATAACAAAATCTTAATTTCTCTAGATAGCAATTCTAAAGAAATTCCTCTCTCTCTCTCTCTCTATCTCTCTCTCATGAAACTATTTAGAAACTCAATTAAAGTGAGATATATTGTTTATATTGATATTAGCAGTCATAATTGGAAAGTCACCGATAATAGAAACCATTGAAAAGTCACAACACTTGAAATTTAAATTTCAATTTAAATACATCTATTTTCAAAAAATATTTATTTAATTGTTCATAAATTAAAAGGTAATATGTGTAATTTGGTGTATAAAGGAGCAAAATAAATTAATTCATACACCTCACGATCTTTATCACTTGCTTTACACGAGTCACGTGACCATGTGCAAGTGCCAAGTATGCCTAAAAATCGCTCTACAGCCCAATGCCCATGCCGCACAAGTGCATGTGCGTGTTCGGTAACAATGCAAAGGCTTGGCCCACTATTGCCTCTTAGATCAATTCAAAGACGTTTAAAAGACAATTGTGTGCAAAGCCTTTAAAAGTTTCATAAACGTTCAATGTAGGATTCACTTTCAACATAAAGACACTCATTTCTTCTCCACAATATTACAATCTATTAATGGTGGGTTCCCAACATTCCCCACCAGATTGTAATGTTAAATTAGTTTCTAATAATATAAGCATGCATACACAAATGTATCTTTCGATTTAAACTATTGGTTAGTTTAAACTTCTCAAAGTTCTAATAAAGTTATTGGTACCCTTAGCTCAAACCAAAACTTCTTTATATTAAAATTGGAGACATCAGGTCATGTGCTAATCCTGTTTTCATGAATATTTAAGAGAATAAACTATAAATTCTCGACACTACTTCGATATTTATATAGGTAAAATTTGTATTCTTTTATTTTCCATGTACTACAGGCATTTGTAACCATTTAAAAGTTCATAATCATCCTCTATATATCGTAACATTCCACAGTAAACTCCAATCGAGACTTAATATATGTTGTAATGTTTTCTCAGTCACATAAAACTAATTTGTTTTTACCTTTTAAATCTTAAAACTAGCTTTTGCTAGAACAAGGGGTTCAGTTCCATTCGAGTTGATGTAACTCTTACTACCTGTGAAACTCGGGAAAAATTAAAATCTTGATTAAAGGGGTAAAACGATAATTAATTGTTAAAGCACGGGCCGAAAATCTGAAATTTTATAGAACTCAGATGACTAAACGGACCTCACCTTGTATTCATCTCGTAAAATTGGGCTAGGCAATCGATTTTCATCGAATTCTAAAATAGTCAGAATTTTACGTAAAACGAGGCAAAACGCGCGATTAAAATTCCAGAGACTTTTGCTTTATTCATGGAACCCACAATATAATTAAAATACTAGTCAACTAATCTTATCCAACTAAACAAGTGGGGCAATCTGATTGGCTTTTTAAGTTTCCAACCAATAGAAAGAGTATATGTGGCACATTCTAGGCCATATATCTAGGCCAAGTATATAAGGAGAGTAAAAGGGGAAAAATCAGATTTTTTCCACCCATTTGCTGGGTTAAAATGTGTGTGAGAGAGAGAGAGAAAGAAAGTCTCCAATTTCTTCATCTTCTTCATTCTTCTTCCTCCCATAATTCAAGATCCAATCGTTGGATCATCAAAACCCAAGAACAAAAGTCCCTCCACTCGATGATGGCAATGCAGCAACACCAATTTCAACCCCTTTTCACCAATTTCAGAATTCAGGAGTTTTGGGGCTAGGGCTTTGAAGAGCTTTCTTTGGGCATTGTAAAGGGTTTTCTCTTTTTTGTTTATGCTACAAGAGGTGAGGGTTTTCTCCTATTTAGGATTACTTTCAATTTCAAGTTGGTATATGGTATGGGTAAGGTTATGTATAAACATATCTATCCATGTAACTAATATAACTAGTGAGATATTGGGTGAATTGATGAACTTGTTGAACGAATTCCTATATGATATTGGGTGTTGAACAAATAAATTATGTGTGGTATGATTGGGTATATTATATGTTTATATTATACTCTCTAGGTGTTTGATGAAATACCTAAATTATGTTCAAGTATGTTATTTGAGTTGATGATGCTTGTAGCATACTTTGTGATGTTTATGAGATGTTATTATATGCTTACATGATATAATTAACATTATGATAAGATGGAATTTCAATTGTCCATTACATTGCATATGCAAGGATTGCATTACATTCGTGGGTATTGACATGAGTGTGAGTGTGTGTACGTGGGTTTAGGTCAATCATTACCTAGGTGAGTTAATGGGTGGGGCTCGGTAAGATTGGACTAAGGTCCAATTGAGTCTCATGGAACATTGCATGAAAAAGGTGTGGGGTATAGCAAGAAGCTTAAATTCGCCCTCGAGTGCAACGCTTAGTTATGTCGGTCACACACTAGTCGGTGGTGTAATAAGTCCATGAAAGTGTGTCGGTGTACTTAGGAGCCAAAGGTGGGATGCCCTCAAAATGTCGTGTCAATTTGGCAACCTGTTGGTAGAATATCCATAAATTAACTACCCAAGAACGACACAAGATTGGAGGTGTATAACCCAACGGCGGGGGCTTGGAATACCCAGTTCATGATATGACATTGTATCACGTATCGTGCATGGGAACCCAGGAGTGGGTTCAATGTTGGACATGTATTTGTGAAATATCATTCATGGTTGGCATGCTTAGTATCATTTCTGTGTTACTTTTGATATATGTTTGGCTTGATGAATGTCTATTCATATCATATACATTGACATTGAGAGGTAATCTCAATAGGAGATATCCTACTGGGCTTCGGCTCACCCCGTTATGGGAACGTTTTTCAAGTACTGGACGTGTTCCCGCTAACGGCCCTCACTTGAGTTCACTTTGAGGATTGAAGCCAGACATGGCTTCCCTTTTGAGATGCTTAGGCCACATTGTGTCTATTTAAGCCTTGTATTTTGGCTATACAAAACTTGTATATTATTTTGAACAAAGGCTTGTAATATTGGGGGACCTTAAGTATTTTATTCTTGTGAGAAATGTATATTGTTACATTGAGACTTGTTAATTGCTTAAATATTGATGTTGGACCTTGGAATGGTCATAGTGGCATTATAGACAAAGGTAGTGTACTAGGTGGAAATCCTCGTAC